GGCCCTCCCTCCTGCGGCGCCGGGGAGGAGCGATCCTGCCTGCGAGGCGGGGAAGCCCAGCCCCAGCCCCAGCCCGGAGGCCGCAGGTGGGGATGCAGGGACCCCGCCCGGAGAGCGGTGCGTCCTTCCTCGGTGTCAGCCTGGACTCCCTGGCGCTCACCTCCGCAGCTAGGAGGCGTTGGCGAGGGGAAGGTGTCCTGCGGCTGGCGCAGGTCCAGCAGGACAGGCCAGCCCCTCTGCAGAGCCCCGGCTCTAGTGGGAGTGGGTTTGGGGAGCCTGCTGCTCCCGTGCAGGAGGGTGTGCGAAGCCTGGGCTGCAGCGGGGCCACTCACGTCCAACGAGTATGGAACGGGCTTTTTCTGGCCTCAGTCTGCTGATCCGACTGGTTTAAAACTTCCTTTGTTGTGTGGGGGCCGGCAGGTGGCATGGCGATTAAGGGTGCTGGACTCCCTTAACCATGGTTCAAGTCCAGACCCGGTGGCTTGCTTTCTCACTTTCTCTCTCACTCTGTTCCTTTCTGGTCAAATGAAAATAAATAAATAAATAAAGCTACATAAAATAATAATTTAAAAAATTGAAAACATAAAAACTTCCTTTGTTATGTTGGGTTTTGGTTTGTGGGTTATTAACCAGCCTTGGTATGCTGACGGTCACCCAGGAGGGGCCACAGAACAGAGTGGGATGTGAGGCTGGACTTCTGCCCAAGGGACTGTGGTAGGCAGCCATGAGCGGGCAGCCCTAAGAGAAAAGCCAAAGACTCACCTAGCCCCGGGTGCCAGGAGGGCGAGGTAATTCGCCATCTTCCTTCCTTAAGGCTTGACGGAAGCATACAGGGATAGTTCGTAGATTTTTCTTTTATCAAAAGGACCCAAGCAAGCATTTTGGTCATTAATACGATAGACTAATTGGGCGATCTAATTGAGGCAACCTGACTCACACTGGGCGTACAGTTGATCAGATCCCTCACTTTACCGGTGAGGAAGGTGCGCAGGTGCAGGAGAGAACGTGTGGATTCAAATTTAAAGGAAGAACATAGGCAGCGTAAGGGGCCGCCCACTAATGAATATTCATGACCTCTAGTAATAAGAGTAACGGTTGACCAGTACCAAGCGCGGTTGCCACTTGGCAATCCGCCCGCCCAACAACCTTTTTGGGTGTACTTTCTTTCCTTTCCTTTTTTATCTATTAAACTTGCTTTTCTACCTACTTCATTCGTGGTTGCGGTTTCATTTTGCGCCTAGGGACAGATCTCTAATTTTAGTGATCTGGACCCAAAGAACCAAGGATTTCACAACGCAGCTCAACACTTTTCCATCCGTTAACAGGACCTCCTCTTCCTGCCCCGTCCTGTGCTCCAGTTCCAGAGGGACAGACCTCTGGGCTGGGAGTGACCATGGAGGAAGTGGGCTCTACTGCCCAGGACCAGAGAGGAGGCTCCAAGGAGCAGCAGCCGGGCAGCCTCACAGCACCCACTTGCTGTGACCAGGCCTCATGTGCTGGGAGGAGGGGCAGCTGGGCTGGGGTGACCCAGAGCAGTGCTGGGGCCTTGGAGGATCTGGCCTGAGGGCTCTGCGCAGAGATCTGGGGTAACGGGGGG